TGGACTAAGATTGACAAAGCTGGTACACAACATACCTTGATTGACACTACTGAGTTAGCACTGACATCCCCTTTCCAAACAGAATGGACTAAAGACACAAGTTTACCTTCAAAGAAACAAGAGAGCTACAAAAACAACAAATGCATCCCCAACATCCTAACACCATCACACCTAATTTACATCTCTAAAGGTTCGAGGTCGAAGGTTACACCATTTGTCCACACAGAAGAAAGCAAGCAATGGCCAGATACCCATTAGTCGAAGACATCTGCTGCTGGATCAGCAAACAAGACACATAACTACTGCCCAGACATGAATGATATGGCACGTCGGAAATCCAAAGACTCGAGGGCTGACTTAGGGAAATGCTTTCCATCAGGCACCCACAAACCCTTGTGGGGCAGCAACACCTGAGGTTTGCTACTCGATGCTGCTGCTTCACCAACTTTTGCAGCTGGAACTTCTTTCTTTTTCTTCACAAATTCAAAGAACTTTGCAACTTGTTGAGCATACCTTGACAAAAGGGGAATTACAAAGGAGTGTTAACATCATTTGCAATGAGATCCATACCAAGAATTAGACAACACAAAAAGATATAGACAAAAAAATAAAAAAAATGAATGACTGGATAATGACAGAAATGGAGAAGAAAAAAATGTGGGAAAACACATTACAAAGAAGAGAAGTTAAAGGGATCCACATAGTGTCATAGAACCTTGTGATTTAGATGTTAGAAAATTGATGTCTCTATACATATGTGCACCAGAGCCACCGGGTTACTAATCAGGCCTGAAACCAATTATATTTACAAACACATTCTTCACCAAAGATTTTATACCCTCCACCTGCTTTGGGGTGGAGTAAAGGAGGGTTTTGGATGATATGAGAAACAAGTTCTGATAACCATATTTTTAGGCTGGTATTAGTTAAGGAGCCAAGCTTGAGCAACTATAGCTCATCCCAGCAAATCTTGTGGACATGGAAGTAAATGAATAAAAATAATCAGAAAATGATAACTCAATTGGGGTGCGTAATAACACTCACTCTTTCAGAGTCTCAAATTCACTTCACAAACACTTGCTTATTGACATGTTCAAATTTTAATATTTACCCAATCCGTCTTCCAAAGCCATACAACAAATAATCAAACCAGGCTGAGGATTCAACCATTGTATGCAACAGCTAAGATCTGCCACAGCCCTGCTACCTTACCCAATAAGAATAGATATATCTAGTTTTATGCCATACTTGCACATCATTATTATTACGCACACAATGTTCCATATTTACAGAAAATTTTGGAGACTCAACTTTTGGCTTTTATCCAATAGAAGTGGCCATTGTAGCTTGAACCAAAACTAAACCAATTTTTATAGCCAGCGTTCATATAATCCAACCAATGGGCCTCAAGTAGTTTTTATGCTTCCCATGCAGTCCCTGAGAGGAGTTACAGAATCTGGCTCAAGTTAGCAACAAGAGTTGTATTTGTTAGTATAGTCTGTGCTTGTACCTCTTTCTATGTTACCATCGCGGTTGTAATTTTCAAATTGGAAGATACATTTGTTTTTCAGGCACCTAAATTTTCAGAAAATGCTTATTAAACTTCTAAAATTTGAACATCTTTAACATTTCCAGATTCTATCAGAACTACGAATCTGAATTAAGATGTCTTAATCTTAATTGGATGGGATCATACAAGGATCTCCAATGAAATCCCACCTTATTAGGCAGCCAAGTAAAGCAAAAAATTATCATCAACTTCACTACAGCAGATGATGTATTCAAGCCAACTCTTAAACATACTCAAGAAATGTGGACCGTATACCAGTTTTATTATGAATTTTTCATAAGTAACAAATGTGAGGGAAAATTTGTTGGCACAGCTCCAGTTTCCGGAACTCTATGGATCACTATTGCACATTTCTCCATGCACTGGTCTTTTTCAGGATCTTCACAATATTGAAGACAAGTTAGTATACCAGGTAATCATTAGTGATCATAAACTATGTCAGCCCAGTTAAAGTTCACAACCAAAGTTCATCTTTGTTAAAAAAAACCTTAGTGTAGTTTAAAATTTGTTCTAACCCTGAAAAACATTCGTAAAATAATTTACTAGGTGATTGTCTGGTCAATGTGAATGTAAGTTAGCAGGTGCTCAACTTTTACATCGATAAAAAGAACAAGATTCGAGTGAAGCTTAAAGACAAGATGGGCAAAATGAAAGAAGAGAATAGAAACAAGATAAAGGTCTAACTATGCCTTAACTTTCAATATGTATAAAAATTTTGATGCAGAGGATACTCCACTAAATTCTGGAACAAAATTGACATAGCAGAATTGCAAAGCAGGACCAAAATGTTAACTAATACAACCAAAGCATCCTTTGAAGTTTGCAGGAAGGCCATTAAATAGATGAAAAACAACAATACTATAGAGACACAATGTTGTGTTTGATATTGTTGCTTGTAAAATGCATTAAAGCAATTTTGGAAGGTTTTTCATTCAACATGATTTGGTCATGCAAAATGCAAAGGTCAAATCTAATGCAAAAAACTAGCTTGATGAAATTATACACTCTAGTCATAAAAGCAAAGTCCCTATTCCCTAAGTAATATTTGACAGAAAATTAACTGAAAGTCGTAAACCAACGTTTGTATCATCATATATACAAAACTTCCGAGTCTATGTCAGACAAAAAAGAAAATGAAAGAAACAAAAAATATTTACCTCAATACTTGAACCCTCTTAGTAGAAGCTAAAGTACCTATTTTAGTTATATGTTTAATCCAAATATAAAAATATAGTGTTTAATCCAAATATAAACAATATTGTATATAAATAAAAAAGCAGAATACCGAAATAGCATATTCCTATCCAACAAAGAGATGCAAAGCACAATATAAGCAGAAATAAAAAAGATCACATCATATACCAGCTTAAGGAATAGCCAAGCTACATTCACAAAATCACCTAAGAAAAATCATAATTGGAGTGTCATAATAACGTAAATCAATGAGGAAAATAATGACAAAAAATTCATGGACAACATACTAGTTTTTCTTTCTCGCAGTTAGAAACACGTAGTTCAAACTATTCTGGGACTGCAGTGTATCAAACATTACCCTATTGGGTCATAGTAAACAATACTCAGAGAAGGGTAAAACAAAATAACATGCAGACATAAAATAATTAGCCAGTAACAAGGCAAAGAGATCATACTGCTGCTTTGCTTCAATGTCGTTGCTGAAATCTATATTGGGTTCACAATCAAGAACCAAAGCTGGAACCTGCAATGACAGAAAACAGCCCTAGGTAAAATTTTAAACTTCCATAGCAAATTCAGTTATATGGAGTAAACATATAGAAAAGTACCTTTTGAATGCTTGAATGCATATGGTTACCCTCCAAGTAAAACACGCGATCCCTTATATCAGGATGTAATGAGCAATCCACTTCCGAGGGAAGCTTATTGACAGATAAAATCCCATGATTTCCACTTTGGAATGGGAAAAGCCAGCTCTCATGCTTTTCATGCAAGTCACGCAGATACTCCAGCGTTACTCCACCTTCCTCTGCTCTCCTCCGTAGCAACAATCGCTTGTGACAAGTATCAGGGCTTGCTCTAAGATAAATAAAACCATCGGGTATAAGGCCGGGCAAACTTGAAACAACTGGATCGAACCATGAGTCATAAATGCTGATCTCCATCTCATTCATCCAATTTGCCTCATGAACAGCTCGCACAAATACCTTTATCAAGTAAAAATGAATAAAATGCATCATCCTCAACAGCCTTCATAAGAGGTTTTTCTCCTTTCATATGGGATTAAAAAACCAGAAAATCAAAGAACTGCTGCATTTGAAGCTAATCTGTTGCAAAACCATGGTCAAAAGAAGAACATGTACCATATTCAAAAATCATTCAGATTAATGAGTTGTGGAACTTAGTAAAATTTCACCGAAGTGTTTTAAGTCAAAACTATGGTCAAAAGAAGAACATGTACCAAATTCGAAAATAATTCAGATCAATAAGAGTTGTGAACTTGGTGAAGTTACAACAAAGTTTCAGACATATCATAATTAAGTTAAAAGGCTCAATAATGTATGCATACCATCCTATCACTGAAAACACTCCTCTCCATCAATCTGAGGGGCTTAAGTCCACCGGATGATTCTCTCTCCTGCATAACTCTTGTAACAAACACATAGTTTTGGAAGGTATAAGCATATCTTTGTGGCTCAGCATAAAAAGCATCTAATATATTAAAGTGGTCTGGTCCAACATCCTGCCATTTGTTGATAGGTTCTGGGACAATCTCGACAAGATCCTGTAGCTCGAGTGTTTCATTAGCTATTCTCTGAAGGAAAGTTGTCTTCCCAACACTGATATTTCCCTCAACACAGAAAGTAAGGCGTTTCTTTGGGGGCAGCTTGAAATCAGAATTAGAACTATCCTCCTTTAACTCTTCATCCACACTCTCCTTGATGAAAGTAGTTATACTCTCAGCATGGTTTCTGTGAATGATACCAACTGAACTCCGTAAATATTCAACCATCTTCTGACTTGACATCCCAAAGAACTGCATGACATTCCAACACCAATTATTACACAATGAATATTCCTTCCAATATACAGACTATGATGTTGAAACAATTTCTTAATGAAGTGCTTGAACTACATACTCAAAAACATTGACTTGTAACAACTACTGAAACACACACAAAAAATTGACTACCAATGACCACTTTGCTCAATTCATACAAAACTGGGTTAAAACAACACCTAGGAATCAAAATCCTTATGATAATAGAACCCGCAAGGTTCATAAACAAAGAATGATATGATGCTTGTCCACTTAAACGAAAAGATGATGCTGTAATGGCTTTCCAGAACAGTACTTCAGCATCCAGTCCCAAAATTTACTTAGTAGTAGCAACAACTACTACAGATAAATATTGGTTCAAGCACAAAAGTAATCGATGTAATATTGGAGTTAGGTCATAAGGACAAACAGTAAGCAAATGAAAAATGACGCTCAACGCAAATACATAAACTGTAGCAATGTAACTAACATTGTTTCAACTTTACTCATTTTCAATACCACAAATGAAACAATTACACAATGTAGTACTTTCCACATTACGTTAATATGCAGAACATATTTAATACTAATCTAAACCATAAATTACAAGCATAAGACATCTACCACTCTCAATCGCCTTTGCACACCACACTCAAATACACATTTTTTTGGGGGGGGGAGGGGGGGGGAGAGAGAGAGAGAGAGAGACCTTATCTTTGTAGAGCTGTTTGAGCTCGGCAACACCCCCAATACCCTTCTCCACCAACTTCCTCAAATTCCTAGGTCCCACCCCTGGAATAGTCAACAAATCGGGACTCCCTGGCAATGCCATACCTCCTCCACTACCCTTCTGCCTCCTATGCAATCTCACTGACTTTTCCTCCGAAGAATCCACCACTCCTTCTCATTCTCTCCCCCATTCTCAACCGCATAACTCTCTGAGGTCTCAGACCCCTTGGCCGCAGCCACTGATAAACCCTCATCGGGAATAGTGCTAAACCACGCCCACAGCGACCCACTCCGGCGGTTCTTGAAACCTACCCAAGCCCTCACTCCGTTGGCGTTTTCAATGGAACATCGACAAATTCTGCAATTATTGGCAGAAAAAACCTGAGAACTGATGGTAGAAGAGGCGACAGCAGTAGAGGTGTACGGGTTATTTTTCACGGCGGCGACACCGACAGATGGGTGGAAGCGGAGAGTCGCGGTGGGGGGCATAATGTATAGCGGAGTGTGAGGGGTTTTCGGCTTAAACCCTAGACAGAGAAAGTGGGTGTTTCGGTAAACCCCAAGAGATATAAAGTTTTGGGTGGTTTTTACTGGTAGAACGAAAGATGGGTTAAGGACAGTGCAGAGAATTGGGGACCCAGTAGGGCTTCGGCGCAAGAGCTTCTGCATCACTTTGGAGCATTTCACAGTCGCCCTTTAACAATTTTGTCTCTGCCTGACGACACAACTACAGAGAGCGAGAGAGAGAGAGAGAGTGGGCGGGAAGCAGAAGGGTTTTGGTTTTTGGGTTTTGGGTCAGTTGAGAATTCAACGGGGGTTGTGAAAGTGGAAAAGTTGGCGTTTTGAGGGTTTGATCGATGAAGAAGGGGTTAAGAATAAGAATCAATTTTTTTTTGGTTAATTGCAAGTTGGATTAAGAGAAATCCTTCGAATCTCAATTTTTACTCTCAAATATTAAAAATTTTAATTTACATTCTTAAAAATAAAAATTTATATTGATGTGCATATAAAACTAACTATCGTCAATTTACTGCCGGAAACTAAATTAATAAATTATACCTAAATCCTCTCGTACTTATCACTTAATCATTTGAACCTCTCAATAAAATAAAGGATAATATAAAATTATAATTTTTTATTAGGATAAAAACACATGTTTTAACAGTTATATTAAAACCAAATTTTGTTTTTGAAAAATTAATAATAAGTATTATTTTTCTTTTCAAATATCCATTAAATCCCATTATTTTTATTTTATATCAATGAAGGACTCCTCGTATTTTATTTGAATGAAATTTTAAATTTCATAAAAACTATATTTTATTTTAATTCTGTCATTCTCTTAACAAATATTGACATCTAAGATATTGAGATATAATATTAGTCTTATTTTATTCATACAATACTCCAATTTCTTACCTTTTAAATTATGTAGTGCCTTCTTGTTTGGTTTTATAAAAAATTTAATTACTAATAATTTTTTGAATTGTCATTTATGATATGTAACAGAGGGCCTTAGACTGTATGTATTCTCGATGAAGAAGAGTTTTTACGACGAAAATCCTAGTGCATTGCATTTTTTAAATTGCAATTGAAGGAATATTATTATCTAAACAAAAATTTAGCATCCATGTGTTTGTAACAATAACTTTAATAATATTTTTTGAAAAAAACAATAGTTTCAATAAAAACTTAACACTATTAGTAAAAAAAAGGAAATTAGCTCATATAAAAAAAGGATGAAAATTGAACCAATCTAAACAAAACATAAATTTGAGTTAAATAACAATTGATACACAATAATAGTGTATTTCTGAGCTCTAATAATTTTTCAATAAGCGAAAAGTGAGAAAAAAATGTCAAAAAAAATCTCATCCATAATCTCCATCAAAAAGTACTCGTCAACATTGGTAAACAAGGGAACAAATAGCAATTGAAAAACCCTATTAAGAGTATGTCGTCGGTACTTGACCTTAAAAAGATAAAATCTTTACAAAACAAAGAGTACCATTAGACCAAAGGTATTGAAAACGAAACAATCTCAAAGAAGCGAGCCCAAGATGGTTTATTAGCTTTCCCAGGGGAAATGTAATTCCTCAATTCCCAAACCAACCTCCCTTTGGTCCTCTACTTTGTAACTCCAACTCTTCTTTTTTAACCTCACCTATCAGATCCAACAACTCCCTTAGCAATGTTAGCATAATTCCCATCGATTCTAGGCCCACTCTTACAATGAGTACATGGAAAAGAAGAGTTTTTGACCCATATCAAGGCTTTTTTAAAAAAAAATTCTCAACTAAGGGTTGGTTTGAAAATAATTTTCAAACCTAGGGAGTTTTAAAAACGTCATTTGGTCTGACATTTTTAAGCCAAAAGACATCAATTGGTCTGACGTTTTTAGCTTAAAAACGTCAGACCAAATGACGTTTTTAAGCTTGTTCTGTAGCCCATATGGAGTTCAATGATGTCAGACCAATTGACGCTATTAAGTAAAAACGTCAATTGCACTGACGTGTTTAACAATTCAAACTTGCTGATTCCATTTTTCCTCCTCTCTTATTTCCTTTCCCTATTTTCTCTTCTTCCCCCAAAATTTCATTTGAGCCCTAACTCACTCGAGCGAACCACCACCATCGCAGCACCACCCACCACCATATAGCACCACCCAACGCCACCCACTACCACCCAGCCCCACCTACGACCACCCATCGGTCTGGCGAGTGTGATGTTTTTACTGAAATTCCGATGATTATTTATGGAGTTCCTTCATCGTCTTATTTTGTGTCGTTTGAGTTTGAGAATTGTTCAATATGCTTGGCAGAATTTATGTGTGGAGCGGCTGTTAGAGTTTTGCCAAGGTGTAAGCACATGTTTCATAGAGAGTTTATTGATCAGTGGATGCCATTAAGGTCTTCTTGTTGTCCTGTTTGCAGAGACCCAACAATATTTTGGGTGGTTATTTAGTAGTTGTTAATTTTTTGGTCAGGTTTTTATTTATTTCTTTTTGTGTGTGTGTTTGGGGGGGGGGGGGGTGTTAGTGGTTAGTTCACAGTTTTGGGGCCAATTCTATTTTGTTTCATTCACTTGATTATGAAGAGATTTATGTCATCACACAATTTTACAAATATTGCTTAAACACGAGAATACCCAAAAAGAATTGAACTTATGACATCCAAATTTATGGTTGATCTCAAGTCCCAACTTCACAACACTAGGCTACCCTTGCAGATTGATTATGAGAGTTCTTGTCATTTGGCAATATAGCCATGGGACTTTTTGAGCTACTAATGTTATTGATGACTGTTTTTGTCAGTAAATGCTCCAACTACACTATTGGCAACCAAATAATAGAGTGAAATTTTTTTATCTTTTTGGAGAACAGGGGAAAAACAAATTACAAGTTGTCAATTACAACACAAATGTGTTACCAGATTCAAAGTGTTCATTCTCCTCCATGTCCTTTGAGCAATCAAACAAAGAGTTATGTTTTTTTTTTGACAGGGAAACATAGGTAGGCTAATCAAGCTGAGATCTGTTGAACTTATCGTTGTACACTTTTGCTTCATCCTTTGTTCAGCAATCCCGTTCGGGTTTACTTTGGTTCGTGTAATAGATTAAGCAATCAGGCTCCTGCTTATTCATGAATCCTTATCCCACATTGTTTCTCCAAAACAATTTTCAACTATATTCTCTTTGTGAGACTCTCTCAAGACACTCATTCTCAGGTGACTAGCCCATTGAAAAGGCCTATTGACTGATCTAACAAGTTAAATCGTTTAACAAATTAAGGGAAGGGTGTCTGTACAATCTAAGCCTGGTCCATTCAATTTTGATGGAAGGAAAAATACGAACTAACACTAGAACATAAAGTGGGGGGTGTCAATCCGCACACTAACATTGGAACATAAAGTGGCTTGTTATGGAACGACGACCAAACTAAATCAATGAGGTCGTGCTCTGAAAATGTGACCATTCCATTCGGTATACCCAAGTTTTCTCTGGTCCATGATAGGCATCTAGTATAGGTATGCCATGTGGCCAAAAAATGTGAATCATCCCAAAACAAGTGATTCCTTTCGAAATCGTCCATTAATTCATATTCGTACGGGGCCAAAACAGATTGATGGTTCCTCAATAATTCATGTTTGAGGCATTCCATCCCCCTCAAATGTTTTCTCCTCTAGCTTACATTACATAAAGGATTGATGGTTCCTTGGCTAGATCCAAAATATGGATTTGATATCTCAAGCATAAACTGAGCCTTCAATCTGTTTGAACCTACAAGCACATGTGGCCAAAACAGTAAAAAATATGACAGAGAATCAAAGAACCAACCATGTTGAAGTTTAACAATAATCATTTCCTTTCAACTTAATCCTTTCTCAAGCAAATTGTTACTCTTCCTTTCTAATATCTAAACCAAATTATTAAGAGGAAAGTGAACAACTTAGAAGAAGCGCCTACACAAATTTCACATAGAAGAAGCGACTTGAAAGATCCACATCTGAAAGCATTCCAATCTCTTGCTTTATTACTTCATGACAACAACAACTTGAACTGCTACACCAATGAAAATTTTGAATAGCGCTGTTACGAGCAATATCAAGAGCTCTGGCAGAATTTTTTGTCATGAAGATCTACGAAAAAAGAGAAAAATTTATTAGACAATTAATTTATTTTTTTTGAAATTTATAAAATAGTATAATTAAATTATAACTTCTGCAATTTTAAGGAATTATTATTACTAGTAACAGAACAAGCCAACCCTACTATCACCCACAATACAAATATATGTGTGAGATGAGATACAAAGAGAAAGACATAGTTTAGGTTATACAGTTACCCAACTCAATAACATAATCAATAATCAACTCAACTCAGTTACCTAACTCAATAATCAATAATCTACTTAATACTCAACTCAATAACACAATCAATAATCTACTCAATACATAGACCGCCTCTTCGTGACATCAGTTACACTCCATACAAAGGATGAAAAATTGCAAAAGAGAACTCTTCCGAAATATGAAAAGGCATAACACTGATAGATGTTTACACTTTAGACTATAAATAAATATAGTTTAAAGCTTAACATAAAATTTGACCAAATGAACAGTGCATCTAAACCTTAGTAGCCATGGTTATTATAAAATATTTTATCACCCTAATGTTTGTTTTAGAAGTTTTCGAAACCCAAGCATTTCTACAGCCTGATGGAACATATCTGAAGGTAAGATTTTAAGGCCTCCATCAATTATTTTGCTTTGTTATCGATCTTTCCTTCTTGCCTCTATTCTATTTTGAACAACCTTTCAATTAACTAAAAACTAGGAAGAATGGCAGTTACCTAGAATTGTAGGTCACCCCTGTTAACTAACAGTACCATACCAACCTTGCCAATTTTCTTTCTGGAACAATAATCTATAATTTATAATCTACTCAATACTCAATTCAATAATCAACCCAATAATCAATAATCTATAATCTACTCGATACCCAATTCAATAATCAACTTAACTCAATAATCAATAATCTATTCAATACCCATCTCAATAATCTATAAAATTACCACAAACAGTTTATTCAATAGATTTACCTTGGTACGAGTTTATCAAATTCCAACAAACAAATACAAATGAATATTTAACAGAAAATTATAA